GTAATAAGTAAGCATTTGCTTCTAAGTTTTAACTTATGATGTACACCAGCATCAAGGGTGGTGGTGGGGAACAGATTGAAAAGCACGCCCTGCTCTCACATGCTAGAGCCCATATTAGAACAGGCCCATCCTGCATAACTCCCACAGGGTCCAGAGGCCAGGAGAGAACATACCACATACCAAAAATGACATGGTGGTCACTTGTGACATGTATCTCATAGGATTACCATCACCGTCCTAGAGGAAAAGATAGGATATAAATCTACTAACTACCTCTGTTTGCCCTATGGATTCCAATGGCTTTTTTCAGAAATAAATGTAAACAACTGCAATAGAATTGCCCTCCCCCGAGGGGGCAGGGCAACAGCATCTGGGAAGGATGGTCTTTACAAAAGCATCCTTTAGCACAGGCATGTCAAACTGCCAGCCCGCAGGCCAGATGTGTCATGTCAAAACCACACCCACCCCATTGCTGGCAGTGGGAAAAAAGTTGTGATACATCGTGCAACGTCACGTGACGTTGCGAGTTTGACATGCCTGCTTTAGCACATGGGTGTCAAACTCGATCACGTCATGTGGCATATCGTGATGTATCATTTTTTTACTTTGTGGAGCTGGGGTGGGCATGGCCTACGTGTAACGCATCTAGCCCATGGGCCGCCAGTCTGACACCCCTGCTCTAGCAGATCCAGCAATTTCTCCTGATCATGTCCATGAGTGACAACCTAAAGCTAGGGACCTAATCTTTGGGGGCTAAGTGTATCTGGCCCCCAAAGGTTAGGGCCGTAGCTTTAGGCTGTCACTTTTTGCCTTTAGTTCAGCTGGGTTATCACCAGACTGAAATATAATGCATGATAAACATTATTCCTAATGCCGTATTAGTCACTGCAAGCTTCTTTCTTCTTTCACCTCATGCAAAACTGAGACTTTAGCTGTCCAGAATAAATAAAGAGAAGACATAAAATGTTTACCAATGAAGCCTTAGCAATATGAAAGGTTTCATCTCTGAAATGTTGCCTGGCCTGGGAGAGGCAAGGGCTAGGGAAACCACCAGAAGGGCTTGCATTTTATAAAATCTTTAATAGGTAATGAAGATTAAGGTGTTGGCGTTTTTTTGTCTACTAGAAACTGCAATTGTAGACAGCTAGTAAAAAGCTGTTAAGGAAATGCAGTCCTGACGCAACTTCTTGAAATGTTGTTGAGTCGAGGATCGAGAAGCAAACAGCATTAATCTACTGAATGTATTTTATTTTTCAACTGTTATAAAGAGCCAAATATTGCTATTTCCACAGGACACGAACGTCCAGCAAATTCAAAAAGCAAGGTCAGCTATCCCCAAAAGAAGTACAGTTGTATAAGCAACTGTGTCACTAACCTCGGTAATAACTTGTAGGGTTGGCTTTTTTAAAAAAAACAAAAACAAACAGTAAGATATAAAAAGTGCAAGAATATTCATTTCTTTATTTAGAAATAATAAAATAAGACATAATATATATAAAAATCTGTACAGTCCATGAATTGTGCAGTACATTAGGAAGACTTTGATACAAAAGGCTGCAAATAAGGAAATCATAAGGGAGAAGGATTGTCAAATGCCTATAGTTTTGTTCACCTTACAAACAGCTGCAGGACAGAAATCCTTTTATGAGAAGAAGAAAAAAGGAGTTCTCTCCGGTTGCCTATGGGATGGCAACCATGCAACCTTCTGCTACTTGAAAACAGTTAACAGCAGCCAACTTTTTTTTTTTCAAAAGACGTTACAGTACTTCTCAGTTTTACCTTGTAATTCCCCCACACATACAAAAAAAGGACATAAGAGGACAAAAATAACCACTTCAGAACCCTTTGTCTTTGCCAAAAGCGTGTGCAAGACATCGAAGAGCAACGGTGGTTTAACTATGTCTTAACCCCCAACCAAAATACACAGCTTACTGATTTTTTATTTATTTATTTAATCTTGCACACCGGACTACAGATGAGTAGCAACAGCTATTCATCGTCTCTCTCTCTCTCTCTCTCAAGCGTGCCTTGCGTAAAACAGATCCGTATATGAAGGGCCCCCATTCAAGTATTTTTGGCTTTCTTTTTTCAGGGAATAGGAAAATTACTGTTTGCCCCTGACCTCATGTTTGCAGCTTGGCGACTTGAGTGAGCAATTCACATTCCAGCAAAATCAGTAGGAAATTTCCCATCAGTGTAAGTGGTCAATGATTGCATCACAGGTCCATATTATCTCAACTCTTTGAACAACTGTCCTTTATGATTAGGCATAATTGCCCTTATTATAAAAATAACTCATTTGTGTATCTTCAGAAGGATCATGGGACCCAGACTACATCTCCTCAGGCATGCTTTTGTTTTATTTTAAAAATAATTATAGAGACATGTTAGGGCCATTAGGTACCATGATGTAAGAACTTTCTTTGGAGCAGATCCCCTCCCCCTCCCTTACATACATACATACATACACACACATATACAAGGAAAGACAAAGGGTTACTTGAAGAAAAAATATAATCCAAGAAGGAGTGCAACTGATTATTCACTCTCATCAAGTCTCCAGCAATCTGACATGAAAAAATGCCAATAGCAAGGGGAAAAAAACACAACAAGGTTAAACATCCATGCCTAAATAAATAACAAAAAAACTCATTGCATTAGAAACCCCATAAGGCTTGCAAATATTTGCTAAAACCATGCTAACCAGTAGCATCGTAGGTTCTAAATGATGCCAACTTGACCTTATCGCCTGTCATTTTTTTCTTTTTTCTTTAAAATGGACTTCTATTTACATTTGGCTTTAAATATGAAAAATACTTGATAAACTTTATAAAAATGTACATTATTTGTTTTTAAAAATTTGAAAACATAAAACCCTGCATCTTGGAAATCTCAACTCGGCGACGGAAAAGAACATTATGGTTTTTAGAAAAATCCCTTTCTGAGTGTGTTTGTTTTAAAAATATATTCCACACTTTGTCAACCCACCTTTCCACTTAATGCCTCAAGTTCTGCAAGTGGGAACTTTGTGCATTTTGGAGTAGCTTCCTCTTCACTTTGTTTAACGTATTACTAAATACTCTTTGGTTTCACTTTATTTTTCCTTTGCAAAAATATATCACAATAGCAGCACAAATCACCTTCAATTGCTTTTCATTTATTTCCCTGACTAGGCTCCAGTCAGGTTGCCATGCAGATTTAACTCTCTCCATTACGTGTTGCTGTTTTCTTAGAGTTAGCCTCAGTCTATGGTATAGAAACAATATTTGGATAAAGAGGAAAAGCAAAAACCAAACAAAATTGTCTATAGTTAACAATTTCTCAAGCTTCAAATCCATCTACTCTGCTTAAATTCCATCCTGTCTGGGAAAATGCCACTGTATCCAGACAGAGCAATCGGGACACCCAAACCTCACTGGAGTGTGTCTTAGTCAATAGTACTAGACCCAGAACAAGCTATTTTTAATGGCATACAGTGAGATTCAATACTGTAAAAGAATCTGGAGCATGATCCCTTCATGATACCCTTCTTCTCGGCCTTCTGAGAGGACTCTAAGGGGGCAGATAAATGGGTACACTTGATCTTAAGAGGCACAGATAAGTGTTACAGTATTCTTGGACAGGGACCCCAAAATACCATGAAAGTCATGGTTCAAAAGCTTTGGTAGAGCTACTTGCACCCACTGATCACCCTAAGATGTATCAGTCATTAAACCTCAAACAAGGGAAATCTTTTACAGTATTGTTCACTTCAAATGTATGTTCTCTTGAGTAGAAAAATAACAGCACACAGTCACTCTCTGTTCTCCTATTCTGGTAAGGAGAAGTTATGCCAAAAAACACACAAAACCACTGCACAGTGAACCTTGCATCAGATTATTCCATGTCCATTTCTTCTCTCTCGAGACCCTGCGGCAACTGTGCTCCCAGTACTTAAGCTAACCTATATGACTGAACGAATGCTTTGCCAATCTCTAACAAATGTAACTTAGACAGAGCATAACCTTACCCTTAGCTACATGTAAGGGTTCATTTCCTCTAAATGCCAGTCTGCTTCTATTATAGGCTTACATCCTAGACCTTACTTTGGAATGTATGCATGGCTTAACATGCAATTTTGTGCCACAGTTTTCTGCTGTTTAACAAACAAGAAAGAACAGGTGTTTGCTTCCCTTGACTCAACTTTTTCTTTAAAAGAATCAGAAGCTTCTCTATCTACTACCTATAGGTAGATTTGTTACCTGTCATAATCAAGCAACTCTTGGCAGTGGTATTTCTCTGAACCAGGGCAATGGAGGAAAAAAAAGACTGTTAATTGTACTCTAAACTTGACTTTTGGAATAAGGTGCAGTTAAAAAAAAAAGAAATACACATGTGAAGGACCTGAAGGGGAGGAAAAAGAGTCTGAAAGCAGTCTGTTCTGTTTAAATAAGAAGTCCACTGTGCAAAAATGTGCATCTTTTTTTTTTCTTTGGTATTCACTTAGGTAGTTTGGAAATCAAAACATATATTGGGTAAAATGAATCTCATGCCATTTCCAAGCACTATTTAAAAAAAATAACTTGCTATAGGCTACTACATGACCTTGTGTTACATAAGAATTTTCCTGTAACTGGATAGTCGGGAGAGAAATTGATTCTAGGTACTGAGCTACTGGCCTCAACAGACACGATTTCCCAGTTCGTCAGTCACTTGATTGATGGACAGAGCTTTAAAATAAACAAATTCAAGACTGGGGGGGATGTCTCCTCTTTTTTCTTTGTTTGAAAGGATATATAGAAATATATATATATATATAAAATCATTACAGTTTGTGTTCAAGTAGTTAGCAGCATTTTTTTAAGAGAAAAACAAACAAACAAGGCAAACGCTTGCCTTTGTTATGCCATTAAAAATGTTCTTGTTCCCAAAGGAGAAGCATTTGGGGAGGAAAAACAATGGATAACAAACAATAAGAGCTCAACCAAAGCTTGCCTGCAAGTTCAAGTTTTGTAAAAAAATATATACATAATTTATTCTACAACATATGTGCCTTCTAGCAATCAATAGACATAGTGCTTCAGGTTCCAAGTTCACGCCTTGCTGTACCTACTCTGACGACAGCGCTCAGGTTGATTCCTTAGGGCTGCTTGCCCATCTCTGTCCAACAGTACCATCAGCTGAAAACCTGTTTGCAGCCACTTCTCAATGCAGCATGCCCGTTATGGTGAGATACATTTTAAACATTGCGGAAAGTATTCTCCCCACCCCAGTCATATTTCAGACTCTCGCCTTAAAGGTCTTGGTTCTAGGGGCACACCTGCTTGGCTAAGATGGTCCATCTCTGGATGAGTATCCGTACTTGTGCTCTCAGGCACCCCATTGTCACTGTCCTCTTCTTCTTTACCCGCAAGGGCAACTTCATTTTCATAGCAAAATGAATTTGCATTCGAGAGGATATATTTTTTCTCAGCTAAGTCTCTGGCACTGCAAAGGGGCGTGTTCGGCACTTCGTATGTTTTGTGGAACCTTGAGTAATCCACTTTGTAATAGTTCTTTTCTTCAAACAGGACCGGCTCGTAGCGATGGCCCCACAGGATTTCATTTGCTAGATACGAGCTACGGCACTGAGTGGTCATAGCTGTGGCTTCCACCATGCCTTCTAATATCACTACGATTTCAAAATCTGCATTGTCCATATCTTGCTTGCTTAAGTCATATAAAGGGCTCTCTTCATCTATTTCGTGGACAATTGTAATGGGCGAGACCAAAAATATACGATCTATCCCGCTGTCAAACCCAACGTTGATGTCTATTTGATCTAGAGGGATGTACTCTCCTTCAGTGGTGATTCGGGATTTGAGGAGCTGAGCTCTCACGTGCGCCTCCACCAAGTGGCTTTTGCGCAGGTTACCAACCCGCCACATCAAGCACAGTTTTCCATCTCTCATGGCGACTACCGCATTGTGACTGAAGATGAGAGTTTCGTTTCTCTTTTTGGGTTTCGCCATCTTAGCCATGACAGCACCGATGATGAAGGCATCAATGATGCAGCCAACTATTGATTGGAAAACCACCATGAAGACTGCAATAGGGCACTCATCTGTGACACACCTGAAGCCATAGCCGATTGTGGTCTGCGTTTCAATGGAGAACAGAAAGGCTGCAGTAAAGCTGCGCACCTCAGACACACAAGGTTTCTCCACTTCCTCTAGGTCCCCATGCAATAAGGCAATCAACCAAAATACACAACCAAAGAAGAGCCAGGAGAGGATGAAAGCCAGACAGAAGATAAGCAACATCCATCTCCAACGGATGTCGACGCAAGTGGTAAAGATGTCTGCTAGGTATCGCTGACCTTTTTCACCCACATTAATGAACTGGACGTTGCAGTGGCCATCTTTCTTGACAAACCGGCTCCTGCATTGTTGCCTGGTGTGTACTTTGCTCTTCCCATTCCCAAAGCCGTTGGCCACTGCCATAGTTGCTAGCTTCATACCATCCTCTTCCGAGGAAACGATGCTGTAGCGGTTGGTTCGCACGCTGCCCATCGCTTCCGATATGGACTCCGGTGCTTCTGCTTTAGAAAACAGTCTGAGTTTCTGCAGAACTCTTTGGAGAAACAGTTTTGAATGTTCTTTGAACACACTCAGATGAAAAAAAATGAGGGAGAAGCTGGTGCCTCCGTCAACCCTTGACTATGCCAAGGAGAACCTTCTGATATTCAGAACTAATCATCTACCAGGAAGAGGCATGACCTGTAATAAGAGGGGAAAAAGAATCAGCAAATGCTAGAAACAGCTCTTCTTCTCCCCCCCCTTTTTTTTTTTAATTCCTGGCATACTCAATTCTGTTTAGTCAAGGAGCACATAATTTATTCAGTGGTAACTTAGCATAGCTGTAGAATCAAACTCTCCTGAAAAAAGAAAATCATCATCAAATATCTTGAGTATAGTATCTACGTCTTTGAAACATACACAGATCGAATGTTTATATTTTTTTAAAGTACCATAATGGTATTATCCTAAAATTATATATGTCTCAGAAAGTGTTAGAGATGCCATCTAATTCCTGTTTGCAAAACAAGACAGCAAGCCTTTTGAAATCATTCAGCAATGGGATTATTCTGATAGCATTTTGGCACTGGAGGTTCAGCTTGTCAGATCTGGCTTAAGACTGCTAGAAACCTTTCAAGTGATATCAAAGAGAATTCTTTCTTAAAGACCAAATATTACACTGTAACCCATATCCCTTGCCAAGTTTTCTGCTTTCACACAAAGTTGAGATTTTGGAATAGAAAACTCTTTAAGTTTCTTATTTTAATGCATTTTCAGCAGGTTAAGTTTCCTTTTATAAGTTTTTTTCTTAAAAAGTATTAGAAAGCAATAATTGAATATTATTTTTGTTATTTTCGTGAAGCTCTATTTCGATTGTGAAAGCAAAGTAGTTTCATGGTAGCCATTTTAATGGAATGAAAACTACAACGTGTATTGGAAGTGCAGTCAATAGTTAATGGAAACCTGAACAAGACCCAAGAATAACTTTATGAAGGGAAGGTTATATCTTTTAATTATTAAGCCAATGAGTATAACTGAATAAGTATGTATCCTTTGTTGTCCATGCAAAGATGGATGGATAGATAGATAGATGGATGGATGGATGGATGATAGATAGATAAAATATTGGGATTAAGAGATGCAAGGCATTTAATGAGCAAGGTTAAGAATAGTCCTGATTTTATCTTATTAGTGACATACAACAATTAAGGACTCTGATTGGGACCCCTGTTCTAATCCAAGCCACAAGATATAACCAACCAATTAGCAGTTAATCTGCATCACATTTCCTGCGTATTTTAAAAAAACTGCTTCTTCTTTGATGACGTATGCCTTTAATTCTTCCCAAGCAATGCTGTTAATTAAAATATCCTTCAACCAAAACAGAATTCTACAAGACAAGTGTGCATTCTTGAACCTGAAGAGCAAAAGAGCTGTTTCTCCCCCCAAAATGATTGACAAATCATGAGCAACTAGCTGAACAGTACGCATACATACATGCATATACTATATATATAATAAGCATTCAGTAAGTATGCTTAGTAGGTTAAGTATGCTTAATAAGCAAGTCTGGTTACAATCTGTTTCACAACTATCATGAGTTACGACAGTAAGCATTATGGTCGTAACTGAAGGACTACCTGTATTGAATACAATATATTCAAAAGTAAATTTCATTGTTTTCAGGTTTGGTTAAGAGTGGGTGGGTGTTCTTGACATCACATGTTGCAAACATAAAACTCATAATTTTAAGCATAGTTATTCAGAGGTAAAAACCCACTGGGCATATCAGGACTCCTATGCAGGCTTACTCAGAAGTAGAGTATTTCCAGTGTATGGGACTGCAGCTTTCTAAATACTGAAACCACAATAAATGTTCAGTTTTCTTTCTTAGTGAAATACATCCATTTCACACTTTCCATGAAAGTCCAGAGATTGAAAAATGCAGCAGGTGACAATGCATTAGTAGTGCTGCATCAATTTATTGTTTTTATTCTTTATTGCAGCCTCTTATTCAGAGCCCTCTGTCTATAGTTATACAGAAGGCACCTTCTTAATGTGGTACCTGAGAAAGGAACAATGTGAGATTCCACATAGAGACTTAAATCAAGGGGGGGATCACTGATTTAAAAGTGAAATATCAAAGCTTTTCCAATGTGGAATAGTGGTTAAAGTGCTGTACTACAACTGGGAAGAGCCAAGCTCCAGTCTAAGTTCACTGTGAACATTTATTGGATGCCCTTGAGCCAGTGACTTTCTCTCAACCCAATCTATTCCAAAGAGTTGCTGTGGAGATGAAATGAAAGGAGATCTTCATGTAAGCTGCCTTGAGCTCCTGAGGAAAGGCAGGATATCAAATAAATTACACAAAGTAACAATGTGTGTGCCATAATATCAGTTTATCCCATACTTTTTTAGTAATCTAGAACCTTAACAGGGGAAGGGAATTTTCTTAAGATATTACGGCCATCTAATCACACTGTACGATTTGTATGTTATACAAACTTTTGTTTAGTTTTCTGGATTCCACCTGCATATATTATGTACTTTAGAAATATTTCTTTCTAAATAGCTGAATGAGGAAAATATAAAGCAGAGGGATAGCAGAACTCTACCCCTGGTTTTTGATTAGTAAACTTCCTGAAATGTGACATCTGCAAGTTTTTTCCTTCGTTATCTTCTGGCAACTTCCAATAACCCACGGTTTCTCAAATGCACATTAGTTCTCAGTTTGTAAAATAGAGAGAGAGAGAGTGGGGCAGAAGAATCCTTGGATTTAAAGGGGGAAAAATTGCATGGGACATAGGCTGTCTATATAAGATTTTACAAAGCCAAATTGGATCTATGGGCATTTGATCAAATCCAAATTCAAATCACTGTGAGCATTATATATTTGGAAGCAAAGCCTCCACAGAGGTCAGATAAAGTGACCCTTAAAGAAAAAAAACCCCTGGACTATAACTCTCTATAATGCTCCGAGACCTCATCTAGAATTTTGGAAAATGAAGGCTTGGCACATCAGAGTTTATTACAGTCTTGGCTATCCTCTTTCAGCAATTTACATTCTTTTAAGCAGCAAGAAAAAGGCATGGGGTCAGAGGTTAACAATTACATTCAATCTCCAGATAAGGAGAGCAGCATATTAGGAATTTGGCTTCTAATACCAATCCAAGCAGAATCAGGCTCTGGAAATATTTAGAAGATACATTTTTGCAGATACGCCACATATATACAAGCGAACTCCTTCAATGTCATATGTAGCAATCCTCTTCCAAATGCACAAAATGAGTATAAAATTTGGTGGGAAATACTCTGCGAAGTGCTTTACAAGAAATTGTTTCTAACAACAGAATAGTCATTTCTTAGCTGCAGAAACATTTCTTCCCCTTTCTCTTCTATCACAGATGCACATTCCTTTCAGCCATGTAGCCACATTAGCCCTGTTATCCAAAATAGGTATCAAGCATCATGCCTGACAGTGCATTTTCCTCATATAGCTGCAAATATTTACCAAAGACACATGGCATCAGAAATCTTGAGAACACTGAAAGCTCGTGTGTCCCTCAAGCCCACCTGTCTCTCTTTTGTCCTGCCCACCACCAGACATCCCACACTCCACCTGGAGAAAAACATCAACTGAACTGTGAGTCTCCATGCTACAGAACTACACCACAGAGATGGTCCTTTCACATCCCTAGAATAAAAAAAATGTCTGGGACTAGCCTCATGGATCAGCTTGGTGCCTTTTCTTAAGCCCTTCTACAGAAAAGAAAAGCAATTCTTTTGTTTAACCAACCCCCCCCCCAGACTTTGGAAGTAGGTGTTGACAGTTGGGGGGCATCAAGAAAAAGGGGTACAGCTGAAGGGTTCTGAATCTAAATCAACTATACAGAAGCAGCTTTGGAGCAAAAAACACACAGAGTGGCTGATGAGAGAATTTAGTTGCTAAAAGGACTGGGGGAGGGAAGGAGAAGGAGGAACAGTTAATGAGCATATAGCAGTTTATTTCCCAGTTGCCAGCATTCACCTCTACTGAGGCTGTTCAAGGCACACATGTTGCTAAGTGAAGCTAACTGCTCCTTGCCTGTGCCTTGAGTAAACAGAATGGCTCTGAACGAGAGTTCAAATCAATCCTTTTTTCTTCTTCTAAGTCCCACAGACTCTTTGCAGTCTCCCAGCACTGTCTCTTCATCCCATCTCCATTCTATGTTTTTTTTCCTCCTAATGACATAATCAAAGCATTTTAAAAACAAAAACGCCAGCAATGTTGGCAAGAGATATGATGGTCACACACCTAGCCAGCTTGCTTGCAGAAGATGAGAAGGTATTTCCAGAGGATGACGAAGTATTTACAAGTGACAGCATCACCGAAAAGCCACTTTTGTAGATGAAAATATATGAAAAGGACTGAATATGGTATATAGCACATGCATGCAGCCCAGAGAGAGGTTGACCCAGCACAATCGGGAAAGCAGAAATACTGGGTTCAGGAGAACACGATAAGAAGAGGTTTGAATTGCTCACAGTAGTTAAAGCTGCTTGAAGCTGATCCCAACTAAACCTTCCAAGAATAATCTATTTTCAGATGACAAAATCTGTAACGGGCTATATAGCATAACAAAAATTATTTCATCTAAATGGGGAAAAAGAATCCTAATGAATCAAGTTAATGTGATGCAATCTCTCCCAAGCTGTACAACTCTCATCGGCTTTTTTTTTTTTTTTTTGCTTCCAGTTCTTGGCACCTATAATAACATCTCTCCCTCTCCCTCCCTCCCCCCTCCCCTCTCTCTCCATCTCCCTCTCAAAAAAAGGGAAAAATCCACTCAAGGCTTTGGTGCATGCTGAACAAGAACAGTCAACATGTGATTTTTAGGTTGTTGTGAAAAATAGAGAGAACTGGGCAAACCTAAGGGCTTAGATGCTATGACCTTTTCCTGAGTCACAGCAGTTTTTTGGGTTTTTTTTGTAACCACGGGCAGAAAAAAAGGAAATAGCAAAAATAAGAGAGCCCCTAATAACTAGCAGCTTTCTTTGCTAACTTCTATGCAGAGCAATACCGCAAAGTCGGCTTCGTGCAGTGAAACCTAAGAGCATAAATCAC